AACTGTTTTCCTCCCTTTTCTCTTTCTTTCTGTCTTCCCCTTTTCTCCTCCCTTGGCTGTTTTTAATTGCTCAACTCTTTTCTCCCGCTGCTCTAAATTGTGGTGGAATATTATGTGGAGCGCTAACAAGGAGCGGCTCGCAAACGATTTGGTCACACAAAAGATGTAATGACGATGGAGACGCATTAAGTCGACATGGCCATCTGCCTCTCCCGCCGCACGAAAAACGCTTGCGCCGAGGTGTCTGTCTGCCCGTGTGTGTGCGTTTCTGACACTGCGTGGGCGGCCGTGGATATTTATTCATGTTTTTTTTAGGGGCTGCAACATCTTAAACCTACCTTTATATATCACATTTGTTTAAAATAGCTATCAGATGCAAATCAGCAGTTAATTATCGCAGTTTTACATTCAGTAGCTGCTGAGATTAATTGGCTGAATTACAATACATTCATCTTTGAATTCCTCACTGTTGCTGCTACAGATAACGAATCTACAGTATCAGCTTATTGCATACATCGTGGTTTAATTTGATCTAATACAGGAACATTTTGTCCAGCTGAAGGCATTCACATGATACTAGATGTTTGCTTTATTTTAATAAAGATATATCAGATTAGATATCTGGGGCCATTTCTCACACAATTCAGAGATACGATCAGTAAGAAGGGGTTGTTTACTTGTTGGTATTTCCTCTGTTCCTGACTGTGCCTGCAGGTGGTGCAGTAGTAAAGACCCCCCTCCCTCTGCTCCATGGTTTAATCCTAAAAAATCCTCTTGTGTGTCTCACCTGTCCAGCTTTTCTGTAAACTCTCATCAAGTGTTTGGACCACCTACAGAAAGTGTGTCTGTATGCACTTTATTCAACCCTGTTATTGTCTGCAACCTGGAAACTCGTAAACAGGTTTAGGGATTATCAGAAACCTGGTTTAACACAGCTCCATTTCTGCTGGATAAACCCGATTTCTTGGTCATGATTTTTTACACACGTGGGTATGGGCATGACACAGACTTCATGGAAAGTAGCCGTTTAAAAGGATAAAGAGAAAGATCATTACTCTCTCCAGTGCCTCCTTGTATCCAAAATAATTAAATCCAACGTCTGACTGAACCTGAAACTGACAACAAAATAAATAAGTCCAAGGAAGTTGGCTTTCACAGCTGAACAGACTGTGAAAGTGCGTGCTCCCACTACCAACCCTGCTCTCTCTCTGAGTTGTTACTCCAACAGAAATTAAAAAGAAAATAACCTACGGGCTACAGCATCTTATATCACTATTACACTTAAAAATATGCCACTCTTGTCTCCAATCACAGCAGCCAGTAGGGGAGAATTCTCATTATTGACCGGTAAACAGGTCCTGGATTCTCGTACGCAGGTTTGAGCACTCCTGTCCCTAAAAGAACTTCCATACAACTCCAAATTCTGATCCAAACATTGAGCAACTTTCAACAGATGCTAATTAGAAATATTTGCTGCTATTTTGCAACTCATTATGCAAAATCTTGGTTATCATTACCTAAGACAAAGGTTACCCTTTTCCCCTGCGTCCTGCAGCCTGGGCATCCTGAGGGGAGCCGCTCAAACGCAGGGAACAGGACGTGTGAGGCGTCCTTCCAGCTGACCTTGTTTACTAAAGTCACCATATCGTAGTGTTCGAGCATGCTAGAATTTTCTGTACCAAATTTCACGCTAACCCATCCAAAATTAGTCTGGATATTTCAGTCCAGACCAAAGTGGGTTGGAACGACCCGACCAGCCAACACTGCCATCCCCAGAGCTCTGTAGCTAGCGTGGCTAAAAATACGTGACGGAGGAGGGAACGTCCAACCACTGGGACTGCATGTGCTGCACTGGTATCAGCGGTGGTACACTCAGTAATACTTGACTGAGGGACGCTGGGAGATTAGAGGTCAGCTCTGCTAAACAACAGCAACCCTGAAGCTGGCCAGGATCTTTTCGATGTCTCACTTTGACTTCAGCAGAGCAGACACTCGCTGACACAGCAGCAGGTCATCTGGTTAAAAGGCAAGGTTCTGTCCTCACCGCGCCATCCTCCTGCCAACAGACAAGATTTATATTCTCCGCTCCAGCATTCATAGTCTCCTTTTTATCCCCCTTGTACAAGTAAAACAGACTTTTAGAGGAACTAGTTGAACTGTTGATTGATTAGTTTCAATGGAGAGAGGGTATTGATGTTTGATGTGTAGCGCGCGGTTCTGTGAAAGCAATCGGCAGCGCTGGCAGGCATACTGGTCCCTTTCAGTCAGAAGAATAACAATAAAGCCTGTGAATTAGCCTCATTATTAGGAAACAAAAGGAGGACAATTTTCTACCCCATCTCCTGTACTCTCACACACACTCTAAGTAATTAAAAAGTGATAACTTCTAATCACAGTTTCATTCCTGTCAGCATTTCTGCGTCTCCAACGCGCGGCGCTCTCATTATTTCACAGGGCCTCGTTTTGTTTCAGGGCGCAGATTATAGAGATGCTTTTGTAATGTGGAGAGTTTTTGTTTTCTTTCAGAGGCTGTATTTGTGTGAGTGAAAGTGTGTGTGTTTGTGTGTGTGTAGCAGAATTATGAGTTAAGGCAAGGACAGGATGGAGGGGTCACTCTGCACATGGTTGACCCTCAGCTGCCAGCAAGCCTAGGCCAGTTCACAGGAAAAAGGGGGTCGTCAGCCAGAAAGTGACTTTGCTGTGTTGCACTCTTTTTTTTTTTCTTCTGCCTCTTTCCCTTTCTGTCAGTCCGTCTTAGAGCTGAAGCTCTTCTTTCCTTTTCATTATCCTCCCTCCGCCTCCAACACAACCGAATTATCCCTCAATCAGTCATTTTACTTTCCTTTCTCTTCGTTTGTGAGGTAAAGGTGTAAAGCGGCGAAGAGGCAGACATTAAGGCGATTAATTGGCAGCTCCGTCGTTGGCGCCGAGCGCGGCGAGATCTCATCTTAATTGAATGTCGCTCTCACCGCTAATCCCACCGCTTTGAAACCCCCCATTTAGAAATCCTAAGCGACAAAAGGCTCTGTGTGTAATCGCTGTGTATCACCCCCTCCTCGCCACCCACCCCGGGGTAAGAAAAAGCTCCTTTTTTTTGTCTCCTCATTTGGGTGTTGAAGAGGGTGGTCTCTCTCCTGGCTAAAAGCTTGTTAAAGAGCCATTGCTGAAGGCTAACAGCGGAGGGAGGAGGGGTCGCAGAGTGGAGCCAAAGGGTCTCAGCCACCCTGGGGATGCAATCTGCCCCCAAGGAAGGGGCATTAGAGGGGATATTGGAGTGTGTGTGTGTGCGCGCCTGCGTTGGGACCACCACTGAGATCCAGTTGGTTGTGTAAATAGATCTCAGCACTGAGATACAATAGATGAACATTTTCAGTTTTTGTGTCTTCACATTTTCATAACTTCACAACTATGATAAGCCTGCAGAGCCTGCTGCGCTCTGATGTGGCCACCTTCACCTTGTGTGTTATTGCAGCTAGATCATAGAGGTATTTAAAACCTCCCAGGTTGCCACCTGATTCCTCTCAAGTGTCTGTCGAGCAGGAAGTGGCGGATTGTCTTTGTAATTCCTCTGGTTTTGAGTAACAGCACTCTGAAATGCCTTGTTGATAAAAATAAGCCCTGACTGAAAGCCTTGTGTTATACTGAAATAGAAAACAGAATCCATGACTTTTGTAGGCAGCGTTTCATATCAAGGAGTGAAATATGAGCATCACTATGAGCAGGTGATTATCACTAGAACCAGAATCAGGTTATCAAAGATCTATAGATATTGTGTGTAAGCTGGCAAGAATCCAAAAAGAGGTGAGGAGACGTCTTGTGTCCAACAGTGAAACTTTTAAAATGAACTATATTCAACCCCATTGCTTATTGACTTTGGAAAACATCACACTTTTATTGGACCTAAAAATAAACCAACTCCAAATTCCTTGAAACCGAAGTGTTTCCAAACAGCTGAATTGGTTTTACCTTTCATGGCTCTGTTTCCGTCATCTTGGCTCAAGCTCAACTAAACATGCCACAGCTGGGCCAAAGTGCCACTGTAACAGAAAAAGGGTGCGCTAGATTTATAACACAAGACGAAATGTGATCGTCACTGCAAAATGTATCCATTATCTTGTTTTCATAATCGTTTTAAACTAAAGTCAGAGCTGTAGTTCTCACTGTGGTACTCCACCAGGTGAGCTACTGGGCCCGAAGCATTTCCTAACCAAGTAATTTTTGTCTGTCTTGGTTGTGAGTGTGTTGTAAGGTACTGACAAATGATGTCGCCCTGTATCTAGTATCTGTTGGGCTCTAATTAAAAGGCAGTCAGCTGTCATCTAGTTTAAAATCCAAAATGAAGGGAGAGACTAAATACTGTGTGTTTGGATCAGCGTGTTACAGTGCCTGCATTTTCTTTAACACCGACACAGACGGCCCTCCAGGTTTAGCTCCTTTAGTGGACTGAGAGCTCTGACTCACACTTCGGAGCCGAGCACCCCTCCTGGCCTCAAGGCTTTAGCAGGCTGTTGTTTTAATTAAGCACCCAGACGAAGCAGCGCGGAGCGGTGCTGACAGAGGGGGACAGTCTTTGGGGGGCTGGTGGATCACAGCGAGGTTGAGAGTGAGCTCCTGCGTTCACAAATTTTTACAAAATTATACTGGAGGACACGTTTGACTCCCACATCCTTCAGCATTGTGCCACGACGAGAGAGAGGAAACGCGAACATGGATTCTTGATGCAGTGGCGGGCGAGGTGCCTGATGTAAGGCTCAGCAATCCCGGTATGGGTACTCAGATCTTGAAAGCTGTGACAGCCGGTATGGCTGCTATAATGTATATGCACATTCCTGCATAATTCACTTTGACATTTTCCTACTTTGAGTGGCTGTTGTCTTTGTATTTCCTGAACCTCTGAGCTCCTTCCAGTGTCAACCAGAGCAAAAAAAAAAAAAAAAGATGTGTGAATGTGTGAACATGCATACACACACACCCTCTTAACCTTCCATCCCTCCTCTTTAAAGAAAAATAAGGCTCTGGAGTGAAGTGGTGCTGAGGCGTCTCCCCTCCACAGGCCCTCTTTTCCCTGGGTGACTGAACCTGGCATGCCCCCCCCCCCCACTCTCCATTTTGCCATCCTCTAATGACAGACATTTTCCTGTTCTCTTTTGTTGCCTTTTTGTCTCCTCCTTCCTCTTCCTCCCTTATTTTTGCCGCCGCCCCCGACGGTCATTTTGCTTCACATTAAATACCAGCGGGTGAGGTTGCTGGCGGGTGGGTGCTGAAAGATGTAGAAGAGCAGACCTGTAGCAAAGTGAGATGGAAACGAGAGTCTGGAAGAGAGAGAGAGAGAGAGAGAGAGAGAGAGAGACACGTTGAGAAAGAGGGAGAAGGGGAGATGTGCAGTGAGATTGAGAGATTAGGATGAAATGTAAAGAGTGAGGCGGGGGGAGTGTGAACGAGAGAAGCGGGTATACCTCAGGGATGGGTTATTACTTTTAAATGCTCCTCTGCGCCACCATCCTCTTCCCTCCTCCTCCTCCTCCTTGTCTTCTTTCCTCCCCCTTCCTCCCCCACTGTGCTCCAGGAGGAGGTATGAAAAGGTTATTATGTTTCCTTTAGAAATGGCTCGCTCTCCGTCTGCGCCTTTCATCTCCAAATGGAATAACCTCTCTACAGTAGCTTTCTTCTTTTTCTCACTACACCTTCATCTCTCTTTCCAGTACACAACACCTGCTCCTCTCTCCCTATTTTCCTTTCTCTTACTGCCTTCCCTTTTTCTTCCCCGCAGCCGTCTTCCGTCTGACTCTTTAATCCGTTTCTCTCCCCACTCCTGTTTTTTTTTTTTTTTGGTGTTGAGTATAATCATTGTGGTGTAGGAGCATGCATTATCAGTCAGTGCATTAGATACGGTGCTCCTACCTAAATCGTCAGTGATCATACACTGTTATTATGTAAAGCAGGTATTAGGTGGGTATATGAACAGGCCTCTCCTGTCTTAAATAGTAGCTTTTTACATAACATTAAAAATAAAAATCTGAACTCGGATAAAAGCGTTCGTCCTTCCTTCTTTTTCTGTCTTTCAGAAAGGCGAAGAGGCCGGCAGCGTGGTGTTGGAGGACGGCAGGGAGCAGCTGATGTACGAGATCCCCCTCAACGAAACGGGTTCGGCCGGCCTGGGGGTCAGCCTGAAGGGCAACAAGTCCAGAGAGACCGGGGAGGACCTGGGCATCTTCATCAAGTCCATCATCCACGGAGGGGCCGCTTACAAGGTACAGGATGCTCATCTGTTGCCTGCACTGGGTAACACAGGACCTTTAGCAACCAAAAAATATGGCACAATGTCTTCTGGAGCATACATTACCCAAAATGCAACTTGACCGCAGACGGTTTAGTCTGGCACTAGTGGCATCAGACATACACAGTTATACAATTTTAGCAGAGTGCATAGTAACATCTAAAAGTGCAACGTGCTAGAAGCATCCATATGGAAATCTATTAGCAGACTCTGTTAGCTTGAGTTGTGTAATCCATCTGCATTTAAAGGATTTTACTGGTTTGTTGTAACCCTGGTCTGATTTTCATAGTTTCAGCCGTCCTTCCAATCAGTTATAACAACATTGTACTCAACAAGTTAATTGCTGACATCTGGGAACTCCCCTGGGATAGGGGAAGAAACTTCTGGTAAACGTTACCATCATTTAATCACTGTAAACGTCCATTGCACTTTACAGACCAACTTTCTGGCTCTGTGTTGCCCTACCACAATACAATAATTACAATGTGTGCTCACTTTCAGTTCTACTTTCAAAGAAAGTGGTTAAGGTAATCTAGCCAAACAGCTGGATTATTATCAGCCTGTTTCATGCCCTTCTTTTTCACTGATGTCACTGGTTTTCCCACATCTCAGCAGTTCATTTGTTGAGCGAAATGCTACCATAACCAATAGAAATGACAGCCAAAAGCTGCGAAAATAAGGTCTGAAGTTTCAAGGGTCTGCCAATCAGCCTGTATGAAAAGAATAGAAAGCAGTGGCTGCCTGGAACGGTAGGAAAAAAACATCTAAAAATAAAACAAATCCTGCATTTGAAACCGAAATGCAAAAATCCAAAGTATACATTATATTGTCCTCTAAGGCAAAAAACGCCACAGCAGTGACTGTCTGACACTAAAGATAGAGACAAAATAAGAACAAAATATAAACGCTATCTGGCAGATTTATGCTTTGAACATGTGAAAATGGTGTGCGAAACATCTCATCCCTCTATTTTAATATACAGATTTCTATAAAGTCCCGAAATGCCTCATTAGGCTCCTGCCATCACTAAACTCCTTCTGGTGCCTTAAAGAGCTCCGTAAAAATACATCAAACATGAGAAATGAGAAGTGTTGCAGGAGCATTTTGAAAACTGCTTTCTTTAGTCAGATGTGTGTGAGTTTCTTGTGACTTTATCTAATCGGGGGCTCTTTGAATCATTGTTTTATCCAGAACCACCACTCCAAACCAGGAAGTGTTTTTTTGTGTGGGAAGCTCAGCGGGGGTGTTTTCTTTTTTGCTCTTTTTTTGCGTTTGTCCTTTTTTTTTGTTTTTTCTCACCTCGTCGCATTTGTCCACACTCCTTCAACTTCTTTCTTCTTCTGATGTCTTTCTCTGTTGTTTCCTCTCGTCTCCTCTTCCTTTGCACTTCTCCACCTCATTTCCTGTCTTTCTCCGAGGCCTCCGCTCTCAACCCTTGACCCCCATTGACCCCCGAGTGTCAGCTGCCTTATCTGTATCACTCAGTCACCCACTTCAAGTTGTGAGTGCATCAGGAAAAAAAAAAAAAAATCCTGTTTCAGCACTTTAGAGATTCCTCCACTTGGCCTCAATATCTTCCCCCAACCTCACATGTCACAACTCCTCGTGCCCCCTGCTCCCAGATCTGCGCTGCCCGACGAGGAGGCACAGAGACGAGTGTGGCGCTGTAGATAAACGGCTGGTTTGGGATCAGGGCCGCCAGACAGCGGCTCCCCAAAGTGCCTTCAGAAGTAGTTTTTCCGACAGCTGCCGATGCGGATAGCGCTCAGACAGAATGGCCCAGTAAGATCTCCGGCTGGCTGCGAAACAGGTTTCTGGGACAAGATACCACATAAGAGGAAGAAAGACATGAAGGAAAGAGAGAGGGACACTAGTGAGGGAGGCCATTGAAAGAAGACAGCGGGTGAGCGAGCGTGAGAAGGGAGGGAAGAAATGAGCGGTATCGAACAATAGAGAAGATGGAAAGAGGCGGAAGAAGAGTAGAGAAAGAAAATTGAAAAGTGGAGACACTCAGCAGGAACACAATACACAAGAGTGTGTGTGTCTGTGTGTGTGTCTGTGTGTGTGTCTGTGTGTGTGTCTGTGTGTGTGTGTGTGCTCCCCTCAATGCTGATGCCATCCTAATGGAAGCAGACAGCTAAAGGGGCCTGATGAGACTGTTTGCAGTGCCAGGCTGGTAACATGAGGAGGAACCCGGGGCGTCCCTGAGGTCTGCCACACCCACACACACACACACACACACACACACAGCCACACACTCACTCCAACATTCACAACAGCAGGCAAAGGAGGGAGGAATGGGAAGACTCATGGAGGAGATCTAACCTTATTTCCATTAAAGAGCTTCGCTGCCGTCGTGGGCCCGGGGGCCTCAATTATATAGAAAAAAAAAACATTCTTTGACTTTATTCCTGATCCTGTCATATGATCATTTCAAAGAGTATGCTAAAGAAAACAAATTAAAATTACATGTATTGTGCTGGTGCTGCTCACACGGAGAATGAGGATATCAATAGGGAATATCACAGACAGCCGCCGATTTTGGCGTAAACATCAATTTTTGATGACAGCCATGGATTTGATGTGTGTGTGTGTGTTGGAGTGCAGGTGTGTGTGTGTGTGTGTGTGTGTGTGTGTGTTGTTGTTGTGTTTGTGTGTGTGTGTGGTGCCATTCCAGTCTGCGTTTGAGGTCACAGGCCCAGGCGGTGCCTTGTTAATGAGACGGGGTCAAAGGGCAGGGCTGACCCTAATGGACCGATCATGGCTTCTCACACACACACACACACCCAACACACACACACACACACACAAAGAGAGTCTTTAAAGAGTGTGTGTGTGTGTCTAGTGTGTCTAAAAGTGTCTTCACCTATATTCTTTTTTTTTTTTGCCCTCTGCATTGCTCTCCTCATCTGATCCCCTTTCTCTCTCTCTCTCTCTCCTCCCTCCCTCTCTTGCTCTGTCATCCCGATCGCCCTCCTTCTCTCCCTCCAGGGCACTATTCTGTGTTGCCTCTCTATGAGAGGCTGCTATTTAAAACACTTAGAAGTGATTTAGTGCCCACGGAGGCTATTCCATTAGCTGCTCTATGTATTTATCATGGCTCTCCCACTCTCAGTAGATTGCTAACTCTACAATTTTCTTGCCTTCCCCCTTCTTCCATTTTCTACTCTACTTTCTCTCTCTCTCTCTTTGTCATTCTCTCTCTCATACACACATACATTTCACAGCTCTCCCATTTTCCCCCCTTCTCTGTTCTCTTCTCTTAAAACTTTATTCATGGCCAGTCTTGTGTCTTATTTTATAATACTTTTTAATACTCTCCCCTCTTAATACAATTTATTATTCCAGAGACTTTAGCATAAGCGACATGAGCAAAACAGGAGTTCTTCAAAATGCCTCTAATGTGTGTTATCGCTGCAGTTCTAGTTTAGATAAAAAGAAAATTCAATGTGGCCTTTACTTTGAAAATATCTACCTCCTGACTCACCTCATGCCACCGCCATCTTCTCCCAACAGGACGGTCGGTTGAGCGTCAACGACCAGATGATAGCAGTAAACGGCGAGTCGCTGATCGGGCGCTCCAACCACGCCGCCATGGAGACGCTGAGACACTCCATGTCGTCGGAGGGAAACTACAGGGGCACCATCCAGCTCGTAGTGCTCCGAGCACCCAGACAGGTACAGCAGACGGAACTTGTACCCCCCTTCTACTTTAAACATTTTCTGGAATAGCATGGAAGTTTTATTAGTGTGTTTTACATGTCTTATATTTTGTTAAATGATTTCAACCTTGCTGGATTGAAAATCAGACTCTTGCTATTTGCAAAAACAACATTAACAGAAGTGAATGACATTTTGAGGTCATGGAAGTGCTCTAGCTTTATTTTGGAACGTGTTGGAAAAGGCAGGGAGGTTTGGCAGGAACCATGGCGGCTGTATCATCTTACAGTCCTGCAGAAACCCGCTGAGAGAATAAAAATACATCTATATTGTTAATATTACCTTAATGAAATGTTAAAACTTAATATTCATAAAAAGGGCAGTTGAGTATCTTAAAGACAAATCTTTGTGTTTTTACCCTTTAAAAAGATATTATTAAGTAGAAGTCTAACCTATAAATGTTACATTTCCATGTAAATACAGAGCTGTATAGCTGTTATTTATGTCAGTAAATTCCTTTTTAAAGCTTTGGTGGATGTGGGGCCACATGTTAAAATTTTCATTTTGGTTAGATGAATTTGGTTACATGAAACATTTAGGGTCTCTTATACATTATGCAATGCTCTGCACAGCCCGATTAGTTCAAAGATTATTCATAAGTAGCCCCCAGAGTTTTGATAGCAAAATCAATGACATATCATCCGCATTAGGATCATGTCTCTCCCCTGCTGCTATCATTGAAGGCTCTACTGTACATACTGGAAGCAGCTGACCTACATGAATGTCTGCAATCTGGAATGAGTGTGACTTCATCATCTGTTTACAAACCCAATTTAGAGTAATACAGACGGAGCTCACCTCAGCCCAGTTATTGTACTGAAGATTGTTGTAGCAATGCCTCAAACACCGTTCGATTAGAATAATGAAAACATCAAAATAAAGGCTCCCTTTGTAGCACTGACTGTCATGCTGTAGTGTTAAGTTTATAGCTTAAACTAAAATCTGTGTTCTGTGTCAGTTTTCTTGCAGCAATCTAAAGTGGATGAGTTTGATAAGTCATCTGGCTGTTAAATGACACAACAATGTCAAAATGTATTTATTTATTTATTTATTTCTCAAATCATCCTCTTCTATTTGACTACAGATGGGCGGGGCCAACCCTGCACCAAGCACAGCCACAAACGGGTCCGCCGCCTATCAACCGAACACCCAAACGGGCTCCAGCAATCAGGTACGAGTGGGTGACGCCTTCCAGCAGCCGCCTCCGCCTCGCCGCTCCTCCTCCCTCCTCCCCACGCTGAGGAGGCGAGCGTCCGAGCCGCTGCCTCACAGCCACAGGCAGCGTTACGCGCAAAGGCCGGGGGACACGCACACCAGATACACCTACGGTTTTAACCAAAGGGAGAGGCGTAGCGGTTATACATTTGGCTTGGCACAAAGGGATGTTGAGTACAGCGATGATGACGCACAAAATGATGCGTGCAGACCGGCCACGGGGTACGAGTTTGGGTTCGTCTCTCACAGCCAGACGCTGGGCAGCTTCAACAGACCCACAGAGGGAAACTTAAACAGGGAGAGCTACGATTACGGATACACACACGGACACGCACGTAGCAAAACCCCTGCAGGCATGCAGGGCCACACCACGCTCCATAATGCACACAATCACCCGTTCAGTGACGCTCAGGGCAACACTCACAGCCACAAGTCCAGGCACACGCGCAGCCGCACGCCAGACCCCATCCACAGACCCCACAGCTCTCAGGGTAACACTTACACTGAAAACATCAGAGCGATGGCGGGGCAGATGTACGGAGACCCACCCACACACAGCAGGATACCCCCCCGAACAGAGCAGAACAGAAACACACACAGACCTGCAGAGCGTTACGCAGACGCACACTTGCACAACTACGCACACAACCGGGCCCTCACCAGACACCACCACCTTCGGCTCTCTGGTGGACTCTGACACAGCGCACGCGTGTGTGTGTGTGTGTGTGACTTTGTGTATGTGCTACATCGCGAAAGGGGTGCGAGTGACATTTTGGCTGCAAATTAAGAACACAGTTCAGCTCCTGCAGGTGGTTCAAAGAGCACATTTCTAATTATATGAACCAAAATAATTCAAATCAGTGCAAAAAGTCATTTCTGCACTGTATTCCTTAGAATGCATTTAAATCTCTAAAGTTATTAACTTTAGACTATACTTTTTCCTCTTTTGCAAATTCTCAATGTGTAAGTACAGTCAGATTTTAGTGATCGATGGTGCTGAAGCATATTAATCTGGCTGAAAGCTTTTCCCTTTGCCAACACCACTAACTGTCACAGCATTAACTTTTAGCTCTCTTTTTAAAATATCACCCATAAACTCACAACGCACAATACTAAATTCTTCACTGTGTGCGGCCTCCTTTCTGTAACATTTGTTTTAACTCACTAAAATGATCTGTTAACTCTGATTCTTTTTTCATAGTTTCTCTTCACACCACTGGCTTGTCTGCACACTGTAAAGGCTTAATCTGCTCTTTCCTGTTTTGTCTATTTGTATAAAGTTTTATATTAACTTTCCCTTTTTAATTTGCATATTTTTTAAGGGAATGCACCCTTGCTTTTCTGTCTCACCTGGCTGTTTCTCCTCTGTACAATAAAGCTAATCTGAAGCCTCCTGCATGCCTGTCTGTTTGTCTCTGTTGGGTTTTCAGCGGCCGCTCTGTCCTTTGCTCCTCTCCCTGTTTATTAAATGATATTTGTGTCCCTGTTCCGTCCGTTTTGGCCTCTGAGTCTCTTTTCTTTTCTGCCTTTTCTTTATCCTTTGTTACTCACTCCAAGCAGAAACCAGGTCACGTTATATAAAAGTCAAACAGCTGGAAACTCCCGCTAGACAAACCAACCTAAACATACCAGACTTAACTCAGTTAATAGTCACTCCAGCAGTCACACATTCACAGTCATATACTGTATAATGATTATATTTCAGGAATACCTAACAACTGACACAAGAGTAGAGTCATGAATGCTCCATGTAGCTGTGAACACACTCTGTTTCAGATGTGATAAATATGTTAAAATCAGCCTGCATGCAATGTGTTAACCTTTGCTTATTTATACCTCTTTCCTCTTTTGTGTGTTAAAGTGCTGTTGTTAAAAAAAGAAGAAGAAGAAAAAAAAAAAAACCCCACTACCTTTTGGTGGAGATTTAAGGATTGCTATTTCCGTCCCCTCTGCAGGACTGATTTCTCATGTGTTACCACTGATAATAGTTGACCTGGTTCCTCAGTGCTTGGTGCTTTTCTACTCGCTGGGCTGGCGATAAACTAGATTATCAACCGATGTGGTTGACCATGGCCGACTAAATGCAGCAAATCTTAACATGTGACAGTGCTGAGAGTGGGTCATGGTTATAATTGTAGGGGATGTGCACATGACTTTGTGTAAGGGTGTCAAACCACCTTTTCAGCCTTTTTTTTTTGGTCCTGGGTTTGATATTTCTAGTTTCTGGGCTGAATTAAGCAGTCGCTTGTAATTCACGAGTCAATCGACACGAGATAAATCTGAATATTGGTGAATATCTGTGCGTTTTGGACTGTTGGTCGGACAAATATTTTAAGATGTTTAATTTGCGCTCTGGGAAGCTTGTGATAGGCAGATAATCTATATACTCTATGATGATCAGTTTTGGGCAGTCTTTGTAGATTAAAAATCGCTATGCCTGCCTAAATCTGGCTTTGGGTACAGAACATAGTTAAGAAATGTAACCAACCTTGTGTATAGTTGGACACAATTTCCCTCTGGTTAATTATTCAGCCATTGTTGGCATTATTATCGATAACATTGCTCCTTTTTTTTTGCTCCTCTA